TATTCCCACAATATTTTCTGGTAGTACCAGTAAGTATAAGAGTATTAGATTGTTATTTCGAATATTTTTTATTGTTTCTCTTTTTATTTTCTCCCAGACTCAAGGGCCATAGTTAAGTGTAGAAAGGTCGCCTGATGATGACTTTGTGTTTAGAAGACGTAAGTTTGTTAAATCTATATAACTATTATGACCAATTTATTGTATCAAGGGAATAAATTTATATTGGAACTACAAAATTATTAATGTCCTTAGTGAGTTTGCGTGAGTTTAGGTGAGAAATAACTCCTCCCTGAACGGGTTCTCGGCTTGGTAACCCATGGTACGTAGGGCGACTCATATAGCTGGCCCGACGTGAAGAGCTGGCCCAAGGTGGCCACTCTGAGTAGGCTGGTCGAGCCCTTGGATGTGTGTTAGTGAGCTGCGGCTATAGGAGAGTCCTCTCTCTTTATCGCTGCAGCCGAGGCTTCGATTAACGATACCAAGAAAATTAACAAAACCAAGTATGTATATACAATGTGTCCCAAAATTCAACGATAAGCCAACACCGGAGGATAGACCTGCCCCGGACTAATCGGGTAAAAAAAGAAAAAAAATATATCCCAATTATATTTTAAGTTATATAAAAAAAAATGAAATTCTTCAGAAATTGAGACCGTTTATGATATTTTTCACTACCATGACCACAATTTTTTAAATATTTTTTTCTTTTTTTTTATAGGCAACCTGAATAGTACTGCTATCTACCACAATTCTTAAAAACTCCAGAATAACTCTTGTTTTATCACGAAAATTAATGAAACTTATTTTATTCCCTAAATTTTTTGAAGACTTTTACTTTTAACCAAATTTAACTTATCGTGGTGTAAAAAAAAAGTATGAACACTAGTATGGCAAGTTTTTTTAAAAATTGACGCAACTAACCAATATTCCAAAATGGTATAATACTCTAGGAAAACAAGTTATAAAAAAATATGGGCCTATTATTTCTTAACAGGGGCCAAATGACGGTCGGGTGTAATAAAAGTATTATTTCTTGAAAAATGTTTAATATTTCAAAACAAATGGTACAAACAGTTTCACGTGTAATTTATTAAGTTATTAACATTATAGCAAATGTTCGAACTGTTTGCCACCAGCATTAATACATGCACGACATCGCCTTAAAAATGATCGTTTTATTTGTCTTGCATATCTTCTGCTATTAATGTAATCAGCAGCCTGAGTGATATTTCGACGAAGCTCGTCCAATGTCACAATGGGTTTTGAGTAGACCCTGTTTTTAAGACAACCCCAATAGAAGAAGTCCAGGGGGTTCAAATCGGGTGAACGGGGTGGCCATAAGATAGGACCAAGTCGCCCGATCCAACGCCCTGGATACTCTTGATTTAAATATTCTCGCACAGGACGGGCATAATGTGCTGGGCAACCATCATTTTGGAACCACATGTTTTGAAGATCACTTAAGGGCACGTCGTTTAACAATTCTTGCAAGTCATTTTGTAAAAAGTTTAAATAACTATTGCCATCTAAGTTTCCTTGTAACTCAAAGGGCCCAATTACTTTTCCATTTAATATGCCGGTCCATAGGTTAACCTTGAATTGATATTGGGATTTGTCTTGTCTCATCAAGTGTGGATTTTCATTACTCCAACTATGTAGATTGTGAAGATTTAAATACCCATCTTTCTTGCACGTTGTTTCATCCGACCATAGAATTTTGTCTAGGAAGTGGGGATCTTCACTGTGCCTTTGCAGCATTACACGGCAAAATGTGACCCGTAGCGGATAGTCCCGCGGTAATAACGTCTGCACACGCCTGTAGTGATATGGGTGAAGCTTGTGACGTTTTAATATTCGATGTGCAGAACTTTTCGGGATTCCTGTAGCTTCTTCTATGGCACGTACCGAAGTAGTCGAGTCATTTTCTATCTCCTTGAGAACTTCTTCATCACGATCCAATCTAGGTCTTCCAGCGCTGCTCCTATTGGATGGCATACGACCCTCCGAAAACGCTTGATGCACATTAATAAACACTCGATAATCAGGATATCTTTGAGCATTTGGGTATCTTTCTGGATACAGTCTGCTAGCAGCGTTAGCATTAGATCGGCATTCTCCATAGATTAAATGCATATTAGCGTATTCCTGTGGTGTGTACGGTTGCGGCATGTTAAACGCCAAACAGTCCAAAATGCGCCAGAACTCTAAATGACAAAACACACAATCGTAGTCCAAGATAATGCCAGGTCAGTTCAGTTTGCAGATCACTTCCAGTCCAAATAATGCCAGGTCAGTTAAGTTTGCAGGTCGATTCCAGTCCAAAAAGCCAAGCCAAAAGTCGATAGTATGTACGAGGGCCACGTAAGTTGAATTGGGTACGGTGCGCAGTAAACAAAGGAGCAGAGCGTACTGAACCGACTTGCTGAGAATAATAACAGTTTCTCTACCTGCCCTGTTGTTGTCTCTTTTTAACGTAAATATCTCTATCTATCTATCTCTCTCTAACATCTAAGGTATTAATGCCCCATTCGAATTCCTAGAAATTGTAACAGGAACCCATTTTGGGCATGTAGTAAAAGTGATTACTGACAATTACAATTTAAGGAATTTGGCCCCTGTTAAGAAATAATAGGCCTATATTTTTTTATAACTTGTTTTCCTAGAGTATTATACCATTTTGGAATATTGGTTAGTTGCGTCAATTTTTAAAAAAACTTGCCATACTAGTGTTCATACTTTTTTTTTACACCACGATAAGTTAAATTTGGTTAAAAGTAAAAGTCTTCAAAAAATTTAGGGAATAAAATAAGTTTCATTAATTTTCGTGATAAAACAAGAGTTATTCTGGAGTTTTTAAGAATTGTGGTAGATAGCAGTACTATTCAGGTTGCCTATAAAAAAAAAAATAAAAAAATATTTAAAAAATTGTGGTCATGGTAGTGAAAAATATCATAAACGGTCTCAATTTCTGAAGAATTTCATTTTTTTTATATAACTTAAAATATAATTGGGATATATTTTTTTTTCTTTTTTTACCCGATTAGTCCGGGGCAGGTCTATCCTCCGGTGTTGGCTTATCGTTGAATTTTGGGACACGTTGTATATACCAACAAACATAAATGCCCAAAACATAAATAATTTTAACTAAACTTATGATCATATTATAAATTATTTTAGTGTTCAACGCGACACCATACCTCCTGTAGAAAAATTCGAAGTAAACGGAAACAAAACGAAACGACGTAGCTTGCAAGGCAATAACGGGAAAAAGTACTTTAATTTGTTATTACTTAAGGTTGATTTCACACTAGATGTTATTTAACCTACGTCTTTTCATTTCCAAGTGACAGGAGTAATGCATTGATTTGTTCCTTTTTTGTAACTAATGATCGTAAGATTTGTAACTTTATTACTAGGTGCCATGTTTGTAATTGGGAACTGTTTTAATTTTTTGTCTCAGTTCTTTAGTAAACAAATGTAGCTGTATAAGAATATATTCACGCGGACAGCATTTATTATATATGATTTTGTACTTGACGTGGGAAGAGGATTGTTGGTATGGTAATGTGAAACTCGACTATCCTCCGCGACTTTGGCGGGACTGTACCACTTGGTGCTTCCGAGTGCTCGTTTTTTCTTGGCTCCATGGCCTCCACATATCGGGCTCGGGAAGTCGGGGTGGGAAGTCCACAACGAAGGAGGGGTCTTCACTGGTGGGGGCACGGATGTGCTTGAAAGCGTTTTCGTCGTCTTGTCAATGTGTGGTGACGGTGGAATGGAGTTTTAGTAGGTGCAAGTCCGACATAATCCATGCTTGCCTCCGCAATGCAGGTATGCGTAGGCATTTTCTCATTTGAAACCCGCAACAAAATCCACTCTGTAGTTATGAATAAAAACGTAGATAGATTAACGGAGCGTCAATCTTGATTTTATATGAGGTACGAGTATAAAGCTTGCGTCTATGGCCTAGGTATTAATTGATACATTTATTTATTGTATGGCATTATATTAATATGATACATAAATACAATGGACGTTAAGGGTAGGCCTGGGAATAGAATTTTTATCGATATATTTTTTCACACTGTCTTATCTCTATTATTAGTTCCGTGGACGTTCACTACTGCTGTCAGCGCCAAAATGGCAAAAATCAAATCACCTCATTAGGTCACGGTTATAGCTAGTCCATATATAGAGGTCAGTGGTTTTTCCTGCTTTTGCTGACGACTTATGCTTTTATTAAAATACGGACATTCTGATAATTGCATCCACGATGTTGAGGTGCACTAATTGTCATCTTTGCGTCGATATAATGCAGGGTCATTTTGTGTCCTCATTTCGATGTACAATCTTAATTCTTCTTTCAACATGGAGATCTTTGCAACAGATATATTTAGTTTCATAGCTTTTTTATATATTTAATAATTTATGGTCCTGCCGTTGTCGTAAAATTAGTAACTAATCTGTAAATATTTACGTCTTCTTCAGACACATGTCATACTAATATGTATATTGAAAAATAATTTTGTAAAGAATATAACTCGTTTACATGACTAGGACTTAGATTTTATGAAAAGCAGGTGGTGCTAGTCTTATATTGTGTAAGGAACTTTTAGATACTATACAAGAGAACCCTTTTTCCAATGTTACTGATCATTATATAATTATGCTCCTTAAATTCTTAAAATCTTATTTATAGATATCATCAGCGCCTGACAATCTATATTCTGAAATTACAATTAACTGCAACGAATGCTGTTCTAAAATTAAGGTAAATGTATTTACTTAAGTCTAGTTTTAAAAAAATCGCAAGTTCATTAAACTTCATATTATATAATTTGTATGAAGTCATAAAGTAGAAAAAAAAGGTTGCATACGGCATTCGTGTACACCACACTTTTGGGTGGGGCAAGTTCTATAGAGAATCTGGCATTCTCCTTTGAATACATTTGTACTTGGAATTGTAATATTACACGAACAACGTAGAAATAAAATCATACCGTCAGAAGGCGGCGACTCCTCGCGCTGCGATCTCAAAGAGGTTAAGGCCGATATTAGAGGTTCATCCAATCTCAGTGCAATAAGGTCATCTAAAGAAAGAGAATACACTTCAATAAATTATAAACATCTAGTTTATAAGTGTATAGTGGTGCTAAAAAATTACCATCAGCGCCCAAATTTATATAATCAACTCGCTCAGTGGTAAACGCTCGTGTGTAATAAGATTGAATTGCAACGAGCTCATAATACTATGGAGGCGTAATTGTGAATAAAATCCACGAAAAATTAATCTTAAGAGAGGTTATTAAAACCCCAAAAATTTCTTATTTTTACGGATACTTAGATATTTTTCTTTTAATTAAATCGATTATTTATTTACGACTAACCAATGCATGTAATCTGATTACTTCAAATTGTTTCGTTCTTGAATTCGAATACACAGGGAACTTTATCGATGTGGTGACATTTGGGTTTGGGGCCGAATTTTTCGTGGATTTTGTTCACAATTACGCTTCCATAGCGTTATGAGCTCGTTGCAAAAAAAAAAACCAATTTACTATAGTAAATTGCCTAAACATTTTATGAGTATCTAACGGGAATAATAAAATCTAAATAAAACGAGTTGTTTTAATATTCCTGTCCTGGTTAATGTATTATGTGGAAAAATGCGTGTGGAAAAATGGATCATTTTTACAATGTGTTTATTAAGAAAAATATTTCTTTACAAAGATAACTTATTATATACATATATGTATTTATTACTAAAAAGAGATACCACTGAGAGCTTTGTGTTTAAATTCTATTTCTAAAAGTGTTAAGTAATATCATATAACATGGTTCAAAGTGATCGTGGAACGAAACGCTATTTTGTCATTGACTTCAGAGTAGGCAAGTCGATTCACTTTAAAAAAATTGATCTCCGATTTGATTCAAATCTAACATACTACAATCGATTCTTTATTAAATCAAGCATTATTAGATGATTTTCGATTAATCGCGACATTTTCAAACATGGCTAATAATACATATAGGAACAACAATACTTTACCAAAAGTGCGAACTGCAACGTGCATTCCTCGATAAATCAAACAATACTATTTATCTCGTTACTATAAACTGCAACATACGAGGGTGACACTGAAAGTTCTTAGAAAGTCCAAAATTGAACAAACTAGCAAGTTATTAGTTTTATTATATCGTTTCAAAATAGTGTACATTTACATCAAATACATCGCTGCATCCGATGGAACCACAGAGAAAAGCACTTTGCCCACTCGTCCTTAGGAGTCTCTTCGACGGCATTCTGAAACGCAGCCACTGCCGCCTCGGCGTTCACAAAACGTTTTTATCGAAGTTTTTCTTTTGTTTTCGGAAATAAATAAAAATTGCAAGATGCGAGCTCGGGGCTATAAGGTAACCCAGTAATTCCATGTCTGACGTCGCCAAGTAGTCGATTGTTTGCTTGGCGGTGTGCGACGAGGCGTTGTCGTGGTGAATTAGGATCCTACCGCGACGTCGTTTCTTCCGAACTTTTTCCGAGACAAGTGGCAAACAGTTGTTAGTATACCACTCTGCAATAACTGTTTTTCGATCCTCTAAAACGATTGTTGCATAATGACCTGTGCTTCCGAAAAACGAGACCACCATCTTTTATCCTACGCTTCGACCTCTCTTTACTTTAGTTGACAACTCCTCGGAAAGACACACCCAGAAAGCAGACTGTCTCTTAGTTTCAGGATCATAAGAATAAATCCAGCTTTCGTCACCCGTAAGTATGTCGAACACAGCATTTGAGTCACCTCCTTTAAATCTTTGAACTATTTCACGACACCAATGAACACGACGGAGTTTTTAGACCTCTGTCAAATTATGAGGTACCGGGCACAAAGCTTCCTGACCGCTAAATGTTCATGGAGGATTTTGTGCACTTGTCTCTTGCCGATGCCTAAGCTTGTCCGAATCTACTGATAAGTCACTCTTTTGTCAGTCTCTATCATACGCCGCATAACACTGATGTTATTTTCAGTCGTCACTGTAGAAAGCCGTCGCTCACGCAGATCATCGGTGAGATTAGTGCGACCACGTTTAAACTCATTATACTAGTTGTAAACAGTGGCGCGAGATGGGCTTCATCGTAAAAAGCCAATCGAAGTCTATCATAACTTTCTTGTTGACTTAAATGACATCGAATGTCATAAAAAATCATTGTACGAAAATTTTCTCGCGTTAAATTCATGCTGACGTGACACAGACAGTTTTCAATTTGCCGCCAAATTGTAATCAAATGACAAATTAATAAAATACATACACAATAATATTGGCAGAGTTCCATTTTCAAAATTTGAACTTATTTTTTTATTATATCGTTTACAAGTGGCCAGTTCTAAAAACTTTCAGTGTCGCCCTCGTATAATATTTCGTTACTTTTGTTAGAAAAGTGTAGAGATTAAAGTTTATTATTGAAATATTAGCTATATTTTTTATTAAATAGATTAAAATGTATAAACTGAACTTCGCATATTCCTTAAAGTAAAGGAATTAAAAAGAGTTAAAAATGTTTAAAAAAATTAAAGAGCAACCACTGAAATGCGAATAATTTCATATATTTTTACTTTTTAATTTTATTCTACTAATAACTCTTCAGATAAATCCAGTTCCAGTAAATCCAGTAATAAACACTGTGAAAGTAATTATTTAATACTACTCATTCATCGATCACTAATAAAAAACTAGATACATAATCAGTGACAAAAAATGTCCTTACCGAATGAGCGCCCAGTCGAACATTCGGGTGCGCTTTGAATTTGTGAATACAACTTTAGGCAATGCATTTAAGGTTGAATTTACATTAATGTATATTTATTTCAACTAGAATTACGTCAAAACAATTGGCGACAGTTTTTAGAGAGCTTTTGCATGGGATTGTGTATCAAGTTTTTTTATTAGTGATCGATGTACTCATTACATAAGATCATTATATGAGTACAGGAATATTTACATTCTATGTGGTTTTACAATTTTAAAACACACCAAAAAGCTATTGTTATACCTGCGGAAAGGAATATTATTTTGTCATCTACTAAAAATATTTTTTTGCCTTAATGAAACCAGTGCAAATAAAAAGTCAATTAACTTGTACTTAGTTAAATAGTATAGTGTGCAAAACCATAAAACTATATTTTTCAGGTGTATCGCTTAGAATAAATGTGTATGCTTTGCAGGCTAAAAGTTTGCTGAGCTGTCCGAAGCAGAAACAATATTATAACACAAATATGCAAATACAGTTTATGGATATTGAAGACATCAATCTTATCTCATATCTCTTATCGTTGAAAATTATCTTCTGATTCATAACAAAATAATAACTACTACATTTTGAAAGGCCAGCAACGCATCTGCAATTCCCCTGGTGTTGCAGTTGTTCATGGACGGCGGTAGTCACTTACCATCAGGTGAGCCACATGCTCGTTTGCCCTCTCTCCCATATGAAAAAAAATAGACATGTTATCGACAAATTATTTTGATGTTAATGATGTTTGGGATTTATATAGCCGCCCACCCTATTCTTGTCTATCAGTGCTGACTTTAAGAAAAAAATATTTTAATATTATGATGATTAAAGACAATAAATACAATTACATTATACATTTTTTTATCTTTACACAACTAGTTTAAATGTCTTACTTAATATATATCACTGTTAACATTACTAGACTTAAGTTGTGTTTGGAATGAATGCTAACCAATCAACCAATACATATATAAACAAAGTTCACACACCACACCTGTCTGTTCGTGCTATATATGATAAATATTATAGATTGTTTTTTTTTTTATCCCAACAACCAGTTCAAAACATTAACTTGCTCTTTATTTATTAGTGTTTAAAATAATAACTGAGTATATTATTACCCAATAATTTTGGCCTAAATGTTATTTACAGTGTATACATACTAATCAATCAAAACATATTAAAACAAAGTCTTGACACAGCGCCTATCTGTCTGTCTAATGTACTTTTATGAGACTATTTTGGAAATTATGACTTACAATAATCAATGCAGTGGCATTTTATTTTGTGTCTTTTCTCCTCACACAACCAGTTTAACAGTTTTCTTAATAAATAGCGTGTATAAGTAAAATTATAAATGGATATATATTTCCTAATTCATCTTGGCTTTAATCGTAATATTTCTTTAATTACATCTGCATTCGCTAATCAATCAACATATTATGTAAAAAATAGTCTCCACACCACGTTTATATGTCTGTGCACTATATTTTGCTGGAACCACTAAACGGATTTTCCATCAATTTTAAACTACCTATAAATGTTGAATGTACCTACAACTTCGTTTTATACTATTAATTATTGAACAGTGCTCTATTTTAACTTATAATACCGGTTAAAACTACTAGACAATAGCTTTTGGTTTGTTTTTAGGTTATTGTGATTTTCATATTTTAATTATCAGTATTCCCGTTAGATGTGATAAAACTAACCAGAGGGAATAGCGTAGAACATTACTTTTTTAAATAAACTGTATGCCAATTAATTGTTCCTTAAATGCTCCAGTAGCTTTCGAAATTGCTATTAGTTAACTTATAATTAACTTTAAAAAAAATATCGAAAATTTAATTTTGCTATAAAACATATGCTCCAGTTTTAAAATTTGAATACATTTGTACTTGGAATTGTCATATTACACAAACAATGTAGAAATAAAATCATACCGTCAGAAGACGGTGACTCCTCGCGCTGCGATCTCAAAGAGGTTACGGCCGATATTACAGGTTCAGCCACACTGGGTGTTGTAGGGTCATCTAAAGAAAGAGAGTCCCCTTCAATAAATTATAAACATCTAGTTTATAGTGTATAGCGGTGCTAAAAAATTTAAATAATTACCATCAACGCCCAAATTTATATAATCAACTCGCTCAGTGATAAACGCTCGTGTGTAATAAGATTGAATTGCAACGAGCTCATAACTTTATGGAGGCGTAATTGTGAATATAATCCACGAAAAATTAATCTTAAGAGAGGTTATTAAAACCCCAAAAATTTCTTATTTTTACGGATACTTAGATATTTTTCTTTTAATTAAATCGATTATTTATTTACGACTAACCAATGCATGTAATCTGATTACTTCAAATTGTTTCGTTCTTGAATTCGAATACACAGGGAACTTTATCGATGTGGTGACATTTAGGTTTGGGGCCGAATTTTTCGTGGATTTTGTTCACAGTTACGCTTCCATAGTGTTTAAGAGTTCAAGTTGGCTACTATCATCATTTGTACTTGGAATTGTATCCTATTCCGCGAATAATGTAGAGATAAAAACATACCCCGAGGAAGCTGTAACTCCTCACACTGCGTTTTAAAAGAGGTTACGGCCGGTGTTACAGGTCCATCCACACTCGGTGCTGTAGAGTCATCTAAAGAGAGTACACTTCAATAAATTATAAACATATATTTGTCGTCTAAACCAAATTTGGATAGTATCATCTCATCAACTAAAAGTTTAATTTAAAAATTTAATAGATTTATACATGCTATTGTGCAAATACTGAAGAGATAAAAACGTACCTTGAGAAAGCACTGAGTTTTTGATATCGGGTTCATCCACACTCATAATAGGGTCATCTAAAGAAAAAGAGTACACTTCAATAAATTTTAAACACTTATTTATAGCAAATAGTAGTGCTAAAAAATTTCAAGAACGTTCAAATTTACGCAATCAAATCATTTAGCGATAAACTCTCGTGTGTAATAAGATTGCATTTTATCTGTAAACATACAAAAAACGCACAATATTTGGCAAGTGACGATATCGCACCTATGCCGGTAGTCGTTGGGAGCACTAAGCTTGAAGTTGTTGACGAGTATGTTTACCTGGGACAAACAGCCCGACTTGGAAGTCCAACTTCGACCGAGAGGTCGATCGACGGATTCAATTCGGCTGGGCAGCGTTTGAGAAATTACAACTTCTTCTCTTCAGGTATACCGAGAAGACTGACGTCAGGTATATCTCAAAACTTGAAAACGAGATTTTAGAACCAATGCGTGTTGCCAGTGATGACTTATGGATTTGAGACGTGGTCCTTCACTGCTGGCCGTATGAGGAAGCTCAAGATCACTCAGTGAGCCATGGAGAGGGCTATGGGGTTCGGGGTTTCTCTGCGTGATAAGCTTAGAAATTAGGATATCCGCAGTAGAACCAGAGTGTCCGACATAGCTCAACGGATTAGTACGATGAAGTGGCAATGGGTCGGACATATAGCTCGAAGAACCGTCAACCGATAAGGAAAAAGGTTCACGAGTGCCAGTCTAATAAAGTATAATATAATAAAGTATAATATATAAATAAATAAAGTATAATATTATATCTTCCATTATCTACGCATGAAAACTTTTAAAATCTTTGAATTTCGAGGTATGTCCGTATTAAGAGGCTGAATAGAGCCACATTGATATGCATGGGGATCGTTTTGTAATTTCACGTCGTTATTGAAAAAAAATTGTACGTATTTCAGGTGGCGGTTTGCAAAACACGATTCCACAAAAATTCACTCAATAGAAAATAATTGCAAAGTTGCTTTTGAAAATACTTAAATTTTCAACGTCAATTTTTTCTTACGTGGTAAAGCCATGCTGCATCTATATTAGTAGTAGGTATAGTTGTAGCACGAATGGGTCGGCTCGACCGGGGAAGGGCCACGCTCTCACAGAATACCATGTAAAATAGCAGTTTAACCCTGCTGTTTTTCGTATGGTGAGTGTAGAGAACCGGAGAACCTTTTTACTGGAAACGAGGCATTACATCTTAGTCCTCACGGGTGACAACGCATCTACATTTTGATACGTAATCGAGAATAGATGTAGATGTCTATGGGCCGTAGCAACCACTTACCATCAGGTAGACTGTGTGCTCGTTTGTCACCCTTATTCTATTTAAAAAAAACGTTCTGAGATTTCAGTAAAATAATGTTAAGTATTGTAAGCACTCGTACAATATTTATGTGTCTCTCATGTTAATAAAGCTATTGGGCTATTTTGATTTTTAATAAAGTGATTTTACTTTATAGGTTAAATAATTTATTTACCCTTCTATATCAAGAACCGTTTTTTCTGTCACTCCTATTGAATTCGACAGTGCTTGCTGAAATTTAGCATCTTAAGATGTATCAGAATCGCACGCTGATCCGGCTGTTAGATATTGCAAAAATATTTATTTTTACTTTCATGCCGAGGACTACCTTGTTTTATTTTATTACGGTCAAATAATATTTTTCATTATTTTGTTATTCTGTTGTTTACAGTTATTACCACGTCTTAGCTTTACACCAAGAATTACATTAGAAATTCTTGATGAGATGCGATGTAACGCGCATACTTTATTTTCATCAAGAACTATAATATATTTTTTTTATAGGAGAGGGGGCAAACGAGCATGCGGCTCACCTGATGGTAAGTGACTACCGCCGCCCATGAACAACTGCAACACCAGGGGAAACGCAGATGCGTTGCCGGCCTTTTAAAAAGGATTAGGCTCTTTTCTTGAAGGTCCCTAAGTCGTATCGATCCGGAAAAATCGCTGATGGTAATCGATTCCACAAGGAAGTCGTGCGAGGAAGAAAACATCTTCTAAATCGCACAGTGGTGGACCGCCAATCATCCAGATGGTGTAGATGGTATCGGGAGTTCTGCCGCGATGTGCATTCGTGAAATTTGGCGGCTGGGATTAATCCGAACAATTCCTCAGAGCATTCCCCGTGGTAAATTCGAAAGAAAATGCAAAGGGATGCAACATCTCTTCGCAGTGCCAATGAATCGAGCCGATTGGAAAGGACTCGGTCGTCGACGATTCAAGCCGCTCTACGCTGGATGCGGTCAAGTGGAAGGAGCTGGCACTGGGGAGCCCCTGCCCAGAGATGGGAACAGTATTCCATGTGAGGCCGAACCTGCACCTTGTAAAGTTGCAGGCGGTGTGCCGGCATGAAATACTGTCCCGCTCTGCTGAGCACGCCAAGCTTTTTAGAGGCAAATTTGGCCTTCTCTTCCAAGTGACCACGAAATTGCACGTCACTTCATATGTCGACTCCGAGGATTCCGATACTGGATGAGGCGAGAAGGGGAGTGCCTTAAAACTGATGAGATACGACAAATGGCTTCTTTTTAGCGGTAAACACGCAAACTTTTGTCTTCTGAGGATTAAACTAGACTAGATTTGGTCACCTCCAATCCGAGACTTTGTTGAGCAAAGACTCGACTTCAGACACAAGTTTGTTTCGGTACTCGGCGACGTTTTCCCGAGAAATATTGGCACGGCCGGTGTATAGAGCATCACCAGTGCTCTAATCCGCATAGCAATGAATGTTACCAGTTAGCAACATGTCATTGATATGCAGAAGAAACAGCGTCGGTGATAGCACACAGCCTTGTTGAACACCAGCGTTAATAGGCTTGTAGTTGGAGCATGCACCATCTACAACGACCTTGATGCTCCGATCTGCAAGGAAGCTGGTGATCCAATTGCACAATTTCTCGGGAAGCCCAAAGGAAGGGAGCTTGGAAAGAAGCGTTTTGTGCCAAACCCGATCGAAGGCCTTCGTAATGTCCAAACTAAAGGCCAACGCCTCCCCCTTGGACTCTACTGCCTCCGCCCATCTATGAGTTTGGTAGACCAGAAGGTCACCAGCTGATCGACCCCGACGAAATCCATACTGGCGGTCACTAATCAGCTGGTGATCCTGAAGGTACCTCATGAGCTGGCAGTTAATAATGGATTCCATTATTTTGGAGAACAAGGAGGTTATGGCGATAGGCCTGTAGTTGGACGGGTCTGAGCGGTCGCCTTTTTTAGGGATCGGGTGGACCAAAGCTGTCTTCCATGAATTCGGGACTACGCCTTGCGGGTAGGAGTACCGGAAAAGATACGTTACGACCGGTGCCAACTAGGGAGCACACGTCTTCAGCACAATAGGAGGACTCCATCGGGCCCACTTGACTTGTTGACGTCCAAGGAGAAGAGTGCTTTACGAACCGAGCGCTGTGTAAATCGCACATCCGGCATGGAGCACTCACAACGCGGGATGGTCGGCGTTGTATTCTCCCGTCATCTAGAGTCGAGTTGGACGCAAAGAGAGAACTTAAAAGATCAGCTTTTTCCTTTGCAGCATGGGTCAGTGAGTCGTCCTCACTGTGCAGAGATGGAAGAGATGGCTGAAAGAAGTTCCTTTGGACAGCTTTGGCGAGAGACCAGAATGCACGGGTTCCCGAAGAAAGGCGAACTAGCTTCTCGCCAATTCTGCCGATGTGCTCAGACCTTGCCTTGGCAATGACGCTTTTGAAGGACCTGGAGGCGGAATTATATTTCTTTTTAAATGCGCTGGTGTTTACATCCCGAGCTAATCTTTATTATTATTTACTAATATTTATTCTATTAATTGGAATTCGTTTAATTGAACCGATAATCTCATATTATGTGTAATTTTCCATGTCATTTTCCAGCTAAAACATGCAATAATCTTTATGACATTTGAAATCAAAGCAGGTTTATTACTTCGCTTTTAGCACTAATGTTATAGATATTATAATATAAGCTTAAGTGAGAAAAACTTTTTGTATTTTTTTCATTATTCCCATATAATAGAAGAAAACACGAATTAAGTAAAACACTGCACTGCATTTGCAAGGGCTGTCAAAATGGCCCACACATGGCGGGACAGACGAACGATTATCCTAATCTATTCCAAACTTTGACTTGCAATAGGTCATGCACCTATCATGTCATGATGTTTTGTTTTGTATAAACGATATAAGTCACACTTACATCAAAGTGATCTTCACAGAAGCATAGTTTAAATTTTGTAGACAATGCCTTCGGGTCTCTTCTTGCCAGTTTTAACTAAGTATTTCTAATATTTAAATCAGTTGACACTTGAATCCATAACTTATCCGGTGTTGATATGCTCGTATTTTTGCATTCAGGCACTACACAACAATGATATAGATGATAACTCGTTATAAATCATCCAAAAGTATCTTATTCCTCTGAAAAATCGGCAAAATTCTAGGGCAGTGACGTCACTAGTTGAACAGCATGGATGATGCTAGTGTTTCCACGCGAAAATTTAAAACGAATTTTTAAAATCAATTTTATGGCACTATTCGGTTTTAAAAAATTTATATAAAAATGATAATGGTTCATTATCACTTTAGGATTCATTTAAAACACTTTTTGAAAATGAGTTGGTCCGTCAACCGTCCTACTGGTCCATCAACCGTCAAGAATAACCGGCCGTATGTATACTTGCTTTATACCTAATGCGACGTTTACATACTCGCCGAGCACAGACGAGTATTCACCTGTGTGCCTAGTGCGAGTTCCACAAAATAATTCGAATGACTTCACCATCGCGTTAACCGAGTTAACGCCATACCTATCGACAAGTGAAGACAAGCGAGTGTGTGTTACAATCGAAGCTAACCTTTCGATTCGCGTTTACTCACCGTGAATCGCGTTCGTTCCTTCTCTTATGTTGGTAACACGTTAGCGTTGTGAAATAAACTAACCAAGTTTAGGATGACATAGTTACTTAGTCGTCTTAATATTAGAAGCTGTCTATCAAAGTTGTGGTTATTATAGCATCTTTCATATACTTTGACAGTTTGTGTTTGTTGTGAACTTACGATTATTGAAAATATTAAATAATAATTATAAGTAAAAAAATATGAAGACTAGTTCGTCCCAATTCGATTTGATGGTGACAATTATGGAGCAGTAAGTTGAATTTAATTTATTTAGTGTTTAGGGAACATATTAATATGTTGTTGTATATTTTGTAACTAAGTTTATTGGTTTCAGGCATGGAGATCTCAGCAAACCATCCAATAATGCAAGAGGTAGGATGGCTTGTATAAAAAACTGGGAGGAATTAGCTCAATTTTTGAATAGTGATGGTAGTGGTGATACAAAAAGTACTGAGAAATGGAAGAAGGTACGTCTAAATGATTATTTATTTTTATATATTTTGGTTTAAACTGGGTTTTGGTTCTCTAATTCTATGAAACATTGAAGTCCGTAGTCTCTGCCTACCCCTCTGGGTGACAGGCGTGAGTGTTTATGTATGTATTTGCTTCAAAAAAAAAGCCAACTTGTTTGTCTTTTTGGTTCTTGTACACAACTACTAGGTATATTGATTTTGTTGAAAGTTTCATTTATATTTTTCATATTTAAGGTTCTCAATCTTGGAACGACCCAGGGCAATCAACACAACCTCATGTTGCCAAGAAAGTCAACCAGGGCCTGCTTTGTCGGGGCAAACTACACCTTGCCATGCAAGACTAATTCGTACTCGAGGATCACCTCGAAGACGAGTGAGGCCAGCACACACAGAGCAGGCAGCACAAGAGACTTCGGTTCTCTACACTCACCATATGAAACACAGCAGTGTTAGGCTGCTATTTTACGCTGGTATTCTGTGAGAGCGTGGTCCTTCCCCGGTCGAGCCGACCTATTCGTGCTACAACTATACTACTATTATAGCTGTAGCATGGCTCTACAAAATAATTTGGATTACTTTTCTGTTCTGTTTCAATGTTCTTGTAATTATTAAATTATTGTATTAAGTTGTAATTGTAATTATTTAATTAAATTTGTGATAAAATTTAAGGATGGTTATAAATAAAAGAAAGATTTAAGCTTATTCAAATTTATTTATTTAATCCCTATAGTAACCTTCTTGCTAATTGATCTCTTAATATTCTACCTTGAATTAAATCAGAGGTAGGTTCTCTTTCTGTGTAACTTATTTGATCAGATTCCACCATTCTTTCAAATTGCAGACCTAAAAATAAATCATAATTAATAAGTTTACTGTTTATAAGTTAGCTTAATATATTATAGTAATTCAATTTAAAATTAGGTATCTTAATACCTATATTTTCCTCTGTATCCGCAACACCAAAATTAATAATTATATTATGTAACACAGAGCATGCTAAAATAATGTGTGCACATTTTACGGGCTTGTAGTGCAAAACTCTATCCTTGTGCAGACATCGTCATCGATTTTTCAGCCTTGAAAATGTGTTCTCAATAACAACTTGAGCTCTCATGTGTTTTTCATTATAATTATTGGACTCAGTGTCTAAAAATGGTGTCATAAGCCATGGGCGTTGGGGATATCCAGAATCTCCTAGAGTTAAAATATACATGTTATTGTCAATAATATAGATAGAAATTATTTAGTAATGTTTTACTTAAAAATACTTCATATAACTCAAAACATCCCAATAAGTTATACTGTGGATATATTACCTAAAAGCCAGACAATTTCTCCATTTTGGTGCAAAGATTGCATGTATGTGTTTAAATTACTGTTTTCCCATATAAAGGAATCATGATTAGCACCTCCAAACTTGGAATTCACATTTAAAATTCTATATTCATCATCACATACCTGAAAAGAAGACATTTTGTTTATTTTCTACCCCTTTTTAACCAAGGAAAAATAAAAAAACTTAATATTTACCATTTGAACATTAAGTGAATGGTAGTGCTTACAACTATAATACAAATGTTCCTCTTCTTTTGGTGGGGCAACTATTTTAAAATGACTTCCATCAATACAACCTACCACTCCAGGGATTTCATATTTTCTGTAAAAACTGAATTTTAAAATAAATATTAACTGAATCTAATGATTAATTTGCATTAGGTTGTTTAAAAATAAGCATATATTTATTATCGTTGACTAACTGCTTGTCTAGCAGCTGGAGTATCAGGGAACCGAATATATTTATTTATTATATTTTTGTGTGTCAGCGCTGGGTAACTTCTTCTATGTACACACTACACATTATTTGAGACGTGTGCTTTGTAACCCCAACTGGCATTTGGTAGGATCCAGTTGCAAAAAAGAATAGAGCAGTGAGCACCTGCAATTAAAAAGAGAACAAACTTATATTTAAACTTGCACTTGTTTTAAACTTGAGTTGCAAAAATGTGAATACTTTAATGATCGATACATACTTTATGTTCCAAGGAAACGCGTTGAGAGGACCTAAGATTTGTCAAACTCCTTAGCTCTTTACACAAAAACTTGAAGACTTTCTTGGAAATGCGATATCTATCTTTAAAGTGCCTCCCCGTGAGGTGTAACAAAGGGTTCAAAGATGCACGAGTTCTTCTTTCAACATTGGCTTTATAATTGCGCTCATCTTGTGCCTTAGCGGCTGTAAACATCCTCCATGCGAAAAAAAACGTCCTGCCATAATTAAATATTGTTCACACAAACCGAAATAAAATTAAACCTTCAACAATCGTTCTCACTATGCTTTCTCACTGTCAAAATTTAGGTGAAAACTTTTTCGATATCGACCGCGTAAACTTTATCAAAATTGGAACTCGCACTCGCAAAATTCTTGAAACAACCAATCACGTGCGTTTACGTTCTCGCTGTCGAATGTGAGTGAATGCTCGAATCGATCGATCGAGCAGCTCGATGGTCGATATCGACGACGTAATAAACTCGCACTCATGAACTGTGATTCCGATTATTGCCACTAGTTGGCGCTGATTTTATTCCATACAAATTGTAGTTAACTTTCTCGCTATCGAGCGCGTAAAAAAACTCGCACTAGGCACACTGTTCTCCACTCGATGTCGGTTTTTTGGCACGAGTAAAAGGACTGCTGGTGTGTATTCGTATCGCTGTTAGAGATGCAAGTATTGTACGCTATGTCGGGCAAACGTACTTTATACTTTATGAGACCAATAACGTACGTAAAAATACATTATTTTACCAATATTTACGATTTTCAGTTTTATTTTAATGTTTACTCAAAGAACGAATTATATACAGACAGGTGTCAATAATACACAACGAGTTAAAAAAGAATAAGTTATATGCAATGCACAAGGAAATAATTTTGAAAATATCTTCTTTACAATAGTGTCAAAATATTTTTCTACGTAGTATGTAACCATTAATTTTGTACTTTAATTTAAAACGTGTCATGTCTACTATCCATCCCATCACTTCAGCGTTACAGCTTATTTAAGTCCACTGCTGAACATAGGTATCTCCCATAGAATGCCTCTTGGGAAGTGAGTTGGCAACCACAGTTTTCTTAATTTTAGTATTATTAGGAAGAAGCTGCTGCACACCTCCTCATTTATTCCCTCTTTCGCCTCTTACTACAACCACAGGAGGATATGACTTACATTACACCGCCACTACACAGTAAATTCAGCGTTATTTAAAAAGTTTATTATTGAATGAATGATAGGGGATGGAATGAAAGGAACAGTGTTATCTTAACTTAGACATAGAATGTCCCCCCGGACGGGTTCCCGCCTTGTCGTGGCGGGAGGCTTAGTAGCCGTGGCTTGGTCAGCCGCGGTGAACAAAGGGGAACCCCTTGGCTAGCCCGTGGTGCGGGGCCGGCCCGATGTGCCAACTTCGGATGTGTGTCGGTGGGCTGCGGCGAGAGAGGAGTCGCAAGGGAAGAGGAGTGTTGGTATGGCGATGCGCCACTCTCCCTATCCTCCGCGACTCTGACGGAGCCGCACCGTTAATACGTCGGATGTGGTGGGGCCGCGGGGGAAGAGGAGTGTCGGTATTGTGAGGGGCCGCTGTCCCTACTTTCCGCGGCCGAACTTGGTTGGCGATGGAGCCAAAGACCAGATCCGCCGCTGGGTTTGGGAAAGCGGGTGCTACCGAGCGCTCGATTTTCCTGGCCTGATGGCTTCTGCGTATCGGAATCGGGGAGCCCGTTACGCGGGTGTAGTTAGAGGCCGTGGAGGAAGGCGTGCCTTGCGTTCCTGGTGCGCTTTGCCTGAGAAGGAGAATGGGGAGGAGAAATCCTCCCCCGAAGAGGGGCTGCCATGGGGAGGCCGGCGCTGGTGGGGCCGCGGATGTGTGCGAAAGCGTTCTAATAGCCCTGCCAATATGCGGTGGAATACCATGGGGTTTTAGTCGGTGCGAGCCCGACATAACCCGTCCTTGCTCCCGCGAGGCGGGTATGCGTAGGCATTTCCTCATGTAAAAAAAGACCTACTGTGATGCTAACGATTCCACTATTTTATAGAACTTTATCAAGAAGAACCCGTGATTTGAGGTGCTAGAAATTAGTTTTAAATAAATATTTCATTATTATCATCATCATTACAGTCCTTCAAAGGCCCATTGCTGATCATACACCTCCCCCAAGGAAGGCCTCAAAGCACGGTCCTGAGCCATCTGCACCCATCGACTTCCTGTATATCTTACCAAGTCGTCGTCCCATATAGTGGGGGGGGGGTCCATACCCACCAAATAAATATATGTGAGTCTATAAATATCAAGTAGGCAAAGTCGTGGCAACGAGACGCACGTCATTCATGTTTTAAAGATCTACATTGAATGAATACAGACGAACATGTAAACGCGTCGTACTTTTCCTCAAATAACTCGGCGTGGTACTCGGCGAGTTGCTCGTGTAGATAATGTAAACGTGACATAAAATGCGGAGTGCGCCTGACCTGACAGAAGTGGCCTTCAAAATGATGAAGAAAAAACATTAGTACTACTGGGCACCTTACCTCAAAATATGGTCGATTGCCTGTTCTATGTGTAAATTATAATGCCACAGTAATACTTTCTTCACCGCAGATTATTATTTTCGAAACAATTCGGAAAATATATTTGGACGTAGTTACACAAAAACGTTCCCAACCCACAAGTCATTGAAAAATCAGTTAAATATACATATCTTTACTTTCACATCTTCGCGAAGATGTCAAAATAAGTAGATCTGTATATTTAACTCATTTTTGATTGTCACTCCCATGACTGACTTGATATTGGCAGAATTCTTTTAAGAGAAACCAAAAAGTAAAGAAGAAGAAGAACTCATATTTGAATGACTTGTGAGTTGGAACGTTTTTGTATAGCTAAGTTTTTTTTTTATAGGAGAGGGGGCAAACGAGCATGCGGCTCACCTGATGGTAAGTGACTACCGCCGCCCATGAACAACCGCAACACCAGGGGAATTGCAGATGCGTTGCCGGCCTTTTAAAAAGGAGTAGGCTCTTTTCTTGAAGGTCCCTAAGTCGTGTCGGTCCGGAAAAATCGCTGATGGTAATCGATTCCACAAGGAAGTCGTGCGAGGAAGAAAACATCTTCTAAATCGCACAGTGGTGGACCGCCAATCATCCAGATGGTGTGGATGGTATCGGGAGTTCTGCCGCGATGTGCGTTCGTGAAATTTGGCGGCTGGGATTAATCCGAACAATTCCTCAGAGCACTCCCCATGGTAGATGCGAAAGAAAATGCAAAGAGATGCAACATCTCTTCGCAGTGCCAATGAATCGAGCCGATCGGAAAGGGCTCGGTCGTCGACGATTCGAGCCTCTCTGCGCTGGATGCGGTCAAGTGGAAGGAGCTGGTACTGGGGAGCCCCTGCCCAGAGATGGGAACAGTATTCCATGTGAGGCCGAACCTGCGCCTTGTAAAGTTGCAGGCGGTATGCCGGCATGAAATACTGTGCCGCTCTGCTGAGCACGCCAAGCTTTTTAGAGGCTAATTTGGCCTTCTCTTCCAAGTGACCACGAAACTGCACGTCACTCTATATGTCGACTCCGAGGATACCGATACTGGCTGAGGCAAGAAGGGGAGTGCCTTGGAACTGAGGAGATACGACAAAGGGGTTCTTTTTAGCGGTTTCCATTTGTACTTGGAATTGTGTCATATTACGCGAATATGTAGGGATAAAAACATACCCCGAGGAAGCGGTGAATCCACTCGCTGCAGTCCCACAAAGACCTCGGATGATTTTACAACTTCGTCGATACTCATTGCAACAGGTTCATCTGAAGAATAATTGTTAACTTCAATGAATTCTAAATATCAACTGTCTGCTCATCATGGTATAGGAAATTCAAATGTAAGCAATCCGGCACAATTTGAAGAGATTATTCATATTTATCAACCCTATTTAACTATTCAGTGGTCTTAAAAATAACGGGCATAGTATAAAGGGAATATTTGAATAAATAAATAATCATAATAAACTATTGAGTGCTAGGTTCATTAAGAGACGCCGTGCACTCCCGGCTATTGGCTAGCAATGCTTATTGCTAAAAGCTCTCGCCAGAGATCGTAGCGAAAGTGTGAGTCTTAATATAATATTGGTTATTTTTTTTACTTTGTTGTTTGAAACTACTTTGACGGATTTTATTGCGTTCAACTTAGTTTATTTATAGCTCCCGACGTTTCGAAGACTCTACAGCACCCGTGGTCACGGGGGAATGAGATGTTGGACGTTCTGACGTCTTTAGGTAACCTATGAATTAACTTTTGAATATTATTTTTGGTCCAATCTATGCTGAACGAGATTACATGCTCGAGTCAGGCGAGGTCCGAAGGGGAGCGTCACATAGGACATGAACACCCCAAAATCGTACGTACGTACACGTCAAATTGAAAAATCTTCTAAAAATTACCGACACTCTTCGCGATAGTTATCAAGGAAACGGTGACGAATATTTTCGGAGGACTGTTAATATTGCACTGATAGATAGCATAGCCTGTTCGGATCAGGCATTTTTATGCCAAAATCTGTATATACAGAAGACCTTCTTAATGTGCTTAAGTGAAGAAAGTATCAGAAATTATGATTTCTTATACTTACGCGAACACTACACATTGAATAAAACTACTGTTGCGCGCCACTATTAATGTTTTGTACATAGCAACACCAGTTACACTAGCGCCCTCTAGTGTCGAGTAGCAGAACTAGGAGAGTCATGAGCCTTCCAGAAATTTCGGGACCGATATGTACTCGAACATTCTACATGTCGCTACAGTAGAAGGTTCTGGAAACTATCTGAGGCCCTATATAAGGCCGGTATAGACCATGACTGAGGCAGTATTGAATTGGCGATACAAGAGAATACTTCGAAGCGAAACAACTGCGAACTTAAGTGATCAGTAGAATTATTGTTTTATTATTAGTGTGTTTTAAGTTGTAATTAGTATCCGTAATTAAAGTGTCAATTTTGGTAATTCAATCGGTAGTTTTTAATTGTCTCGAACCTCAAGCTCGTAACACTACTTTTACGGATTGTATCGCGTTTGATTATACTTCCATTTCCATTCCATTTGGAAACGGGAGCTCAAAGAAAATATTGATACAAAATTTCCGAAGTGTGTGGTTTTTACAATCGAAGTTTGCGACGTTGATATCTAACCAAATATAAAGACTTAGCTGAAAATTCTGGCAACTCTTCCTATAGGCCGTGCGACATAGGAGAGATCATTTTCTACGCTAACGTTAAATAGGACAGAGATTAAGGTGTAATCGGAGTTTTTGTGTTCTTCTGCGATAGATGTTGGAGAACTTAGCTCCGACCGAATGGAGTTTCCAAGAGCTTGTCATACATATCGTCCACGGCACTACCAGTCTTGTAGGCACTGAAAACGATGTTGTAACTCGAGCTGAAAGTTTTCGGGGCGTTGGATTAGCACCCTCCCGGTGATAGAACAAGTAGCCGGATTCGATGATTACCGTGGATTACCATTCTTAGCACCCCCTTACCAGCTATTACCATGGTCGAAACCATAGCCAGGAATAGCGGGGCCGCTGAAGACTGCGGGGCCGTTTCTTTGAGTCGTTGCTCATGGAGGGACGTTTGCAATAGTTACCACGCATGGCAAAATGGTTGGCTACCGTAGTTTTTATTGTAATTTAGCTGTTATCAGATGACCGCTGCTGCCCATCTCCTGCCTCAGTTTTCCCCTGTCGCCTCTTACAATACCCATGACAAGATATGGGATACTGGATGTTCTTACACCGCCACTATACTGCTAACTTAGAGTACAGTAACTTTGAAGTTGTTAGAACTTACTCTACTCTACTGTGTGGTAACTGACCTTAGCGATCAGAGAAAGCAGAGTCTACTTCACCTGCGACTGCGAAACACGTGTCGTATTATTGAGGGTGGTTTGTCGTTAATAGTGTGATGGTGTGGGAGTGGTGGTGATAGGTGTGGTGGTGCTGGAAGTGGTGGTGCTGGAAGTGGTGGTGCTGGCAGTAGTGGTGCTAGGACTGGTGGTGCTGGAACTGGTGGTGCTAAGAGTAGTAGTGCTGGCAGTGGTGGTGCTGGAAGTGATGGTGCTGGGAGTGGTGGTGAAGGAGATAGTGCACACAATTGAGGGAGGGCGAGAGGTGACATTATAATTATCTAGTACTTCTTGCAATTCACCACGTAATGTTCAATATTCGAAGCGGCACTAAGAAATAAATTCTGCTCGTCCGAAGAATTAAATGCGTTCTTTGAGGTCTCGTAATTTTTTGTATGGGTTCATAAATACAACTACGCTTAGCGATAATAATTTTTAAACTCGCTTCTTCACCCGAAACCAGTTTAGATTCCTTGCTTCTCCTTTTCTACAAATAAAATGCGAACTAAAATTATTGTGATAATTAAAGGTAAATAAACAAAATGCGGACTAAAATTATTGTGATAAGTGGCTGTAGAATTAGCTTGGTAAACGAAGCTATCTCGCGTGATTTTAGTTAATGAAACAAGAAAAATATCATTAAAGTAATAATGATTTGGTGTGGTAAGGAAATTATTTACATTTAAAAAGTAGTGCCGGAGAGATATTAATTATAATTAATATAATTTAATAATACATATATACATATATAATTTTTTGTAATATATAAAGAAAACGATATATAAAGGATTACTTGTTCTGGACCAAAATGTTAGATAATATTAAATTATCCCGGCCTGGATGAGGCGTTGCGAATATACTATTTTGCGATACTAAATAATTCGGACTACAGGAAGGTCGTGAAGGAATGCAAGTGCACTCACGTGGACTTCGTGCCCCAAGGGCTGCGTTCACGCATGTTGGTTGTCGCCTGTCTTCACACATGTTTATAGCAAATGTTCTATATACTTTATTATGTTCTTGTATAATTCAATATCTAAACCACACAAAGGTTTAGATATTGAACTATAAGTGTTTTCATGTCTTGCCAGCTTGTGAGCACCCCGATTAACACTAGAGTGAACATGCTAGACATAAAATGCGGTAGATAGGAAATTCGGTAATGGCTTTTGCAGTACCCTCATTGAATAATAATTAACGAATCTCAAATTAGCTAGGCGATAGTTGCAGTGGCGTGAACAGTTATTAACAAATTCTATATTAATAAACTCAAAGTGACTCATCATATCAACAGTATATTATGTTGGCATAGTGCCAAAAAAGTAAATCAGAAAATCGAGACAAAATTGGTGGCGCTGTGATTAAGTTGTTAATAAATATATTTAATCACGTCACCTACCGAAAAGGGAAATTCATTGTCAGCCTGTCCAGCTAGTGTACTAATATAAAGATAATATCAAGAAGTATAATGGGGAAATATATACTTAAATTTTACGTAATAAAACTGACTTCCTATACATTCCTTGCTCATTAGACTGCGGGGCCTATGGTAATATTTCATCAGATTTCATTGCATCTGGGGCATGGGGCAAATTTTTTTTATAATTTGTTTTATTAACATGATTTGACTAAAATAGTATTTGCTTTGTTTGACATAAATTTTCACCCGCGTCAAATAAATCGTTGTGAAGTCCCCGTTATTACGTTATAAATATATTTAACAAAACATATCATTTGTAAAATGTTTTTTCCACTTAATGTAGTGTTTTTACTTTTGGTATCTTTTCTTGCTAGAATTACTGCTTTATAACTAAATATTTATAGCAAAAAATATTTATATTATGTGTGGTCTTTACTGTCTTGCTACCAGCTAATACCGCAGTAATCAATTTTTTCGAAAAACTGTTTTACTGCCTTTTAAGTATTAATCGAAATGTAGTGCCAAGACGATTAGCTTTAATTTCATGACACTCACTGAATCATTCTTTGACCAAATATTGTCCCAAAAAACCAAAGAATTATTACAGATTTGCAGGTTTGTTTTGTTTTTGTTTCCATGCTAACTTCCGGGTCAAAGCTTGTGTGTCATACAACTTTTAAACATTATGAGATAATAGGTTATTTTTTTCGCAAACGTGTGTTGTATATTATGAATACCAAAATTTACCTTTCCATAAAGAAGCAGCATAATTTTCATCACAGACCTTTATCAACGGACTCATAACTGGGTCTGCTGCTGGAATGTTATCTGAAAGATTAAGTCTATGGTTATATACATGTAATTAGAAAGTCTATATCATTTCATTTAATAAAATCGCAAACAAGCAAGTGATGTCAAAATTAATAAGCAAGGACAGGAGACAACTCAGGTCAAAGTAAAAAGAAATAGATTCTAAGGATCGCCTCCTTATTAGTGATACAAATCTCCAACAGTGAATGGTTATGGATATGGTTGCTACTGTCTAAATGTGAATTACCGGCAAAACACGGGAACAAGCACACTTTTTCTTTGACCTTATACAATCTGTACCAACTTAATAATATTTATAAAATCATAAAAAAGCAAGCGGTGATGAAACGTTTTTATTTAACTCTTTGATCGAAAACTACGTCTTAAAGCGTCAGGTTTAGACTTGTTACTTAACGGAAAAATTAGTTTAATCGACATGATTTAGATATATTTCCTTTATTGCTGAGAGCTGATTGAAATATGCTCAATCATCATTACGCTAACACTACATTTTAAACATTGAAATGTAGTGTTAGCGTAATGAGTGATCTTGTACACCCATGTATCTGAACAAGATTGAGAATACAAAACAAAATTAAAATAAACTATAAACAAAGTAAAAACACTACTTCGGTTTAACAGACTATATTATAAGCTGAAAGCCTAAGTTAAATACCTGAATTAAGTTTAGTAGCAGGCGGGATATAATTGCAAATTATAAACCGAAAGAAAATTAATGGGTCAAGGCTGCTACTAAACTTAATGCGGGCCTTTAATTTAGGTTTTCAGCTCATAATACTAGGGGCGGCTGATAAGTTCGCGGCTTAAGGTACTTAATGATATAAAATATATGGTTTCTATATTTTATTTTTCAATATAGTTTCCCTCAAGTAAAATACATTTCTCACATGTTGTATACAATGCTTTTAACCCACCCAAAAATATTCTGCATCTTTCTCTTCAAAATGACAATCAATCGCAGCTTTCATTTCGTTGTCATCTGCAAATCTCCGGCCCCGTAAGTCCTTTTTCAAATTGGAAAACAGGAAAAAATCGCTAGGTGCTAGATCTGGGCTATACAGACGGTGGTCAATCTCTGAGAATCCGGTGTCTTTCAGTGCTTGACTCGCAATATGTGCGGTGTGAACGGGCGCGTTTTCTTGCAGAAACAGCACTCCGCGCGTCAGTTTCCCACGTCGTTTCTGTACAATAGCCTTGCGAACCTCAGTCAATAAATTAGCCATTCGTCGTAGTTCCCTGGATAGCTAGACAATAAGCAAAATTCCCTCGCTATCCCAGAAAACAGTCGCCATTAGTTTGGACGCCAACTTTTCCTGCTTAATATCCTCGGTGGCCTTTCTCCTTTTTATGTCCATTACATGGACTCGACTCGGACTCAGTTTCGACTCCGGATCATATTGGCGAATTCATGTTTCATCTACGGTGACAATCCGTTGCCAAAAGTCTTCCTTGTTATCACCGACTAGCTCCAAAAATATTTGCAACTTGCGAGTCGACCATGCTTGTTGAGCGTTGTGAGCATTTTCGGTATCCAGCGCGCGCTAATTTTTCTCATATTCAAATGTTCTTTGCTAATCTGCAGTTTTTCAGCAATCGGCCCCAATTTAATTCTTCGGTCTGCCGGAACGGTTTTTTAGACTTTTCAGACGTTTTCTTCGGTCAGTACTATGACAGGGCGGCCCGGGCGTGGGTCGTTTTCATAGCTCTCTCGTCCGTGTTGAAATTTGCGGCCTTAGTTGTTCGCAGTCGTACGATGAGAGGTCAAAAAATTCGCGGAATGACAGAGAAGGATAACGAAATTAAACATTAAACTATTTTTCCTTTTCAAGGTATTCTCCCTTAACCCTAATACATTTATTAAATCTCTCAAATAACTTATTAATACCGTCTAAAAAAAGAGATTTGACTTGGGCGTCAAAATAGGCCGAAATTGCCTAATTCACTTCATGATCGTCGCCAAATTTTTTCCCACAAAGTTCTTTCTTCATTTTTGTAAACAAGTAATAGTCGCTTGGGGCCAGGTCTGAGCTGTAGGGTGGGTGGCGCAGTTGTTCGAAACCGCACCGGTGAATGGCAGCCGTCGCAACATGGCTCGTGTGCACGGGCGCATTGTCGTGCAAAAGAAGCACGGCTTTTGTAAGCTTTCCTCGCATTTTTTTATAGAATAAGGATGACAAACGAGCACACAGTCCATATTATTATAAGTGGCCATTAACCGCTAAATCTATCTTCGTTTACGAATTAAAATGCAGATGCGTTGTCAGCCGTGTGGACAAAGATAGAATGCCTCTTTTCCAGCAAAATGGGTCTCCGGTTCTCTACACTCACCATACGAAACACAACAGCATTATGCTGCTATTTTACGCTGGTATTCTGTGAGAGCGTGATCCTTTCTCGGTCGAGCCGACCCATTCGTGCTGCAACTATACAATAGTATAGTATACTATTGTATAGTTGCAGCATGGCTCTACCACGTAAACGTTTTTTCTTTAATAGCTTCTTTTAATTGATCTAGTAAAGAAGCGTAGTATTCCCCCGTTATGGAAACACCACGTTCCCTATAATCAATTAAAAGGATACCTTCTGTATCCCAAAAGATCGTCGCCATGATCTTTCCGGCCGATTGAGACACCTTATACTTCTTAGCAGGGGTGTGCCTTCTTTGTGCCACTGCATCAACTCTTGTTTGACTCAGATTCATAATGGTGAACACAAGTTTCATCGCCAGTTACAATTCGGGCCTTAACTTCCACCCCTTTCTTTCCAAAGCGGTCTAAAAACTCACAACAACTTTCGACGCGCTCGTGTTTTTGATGCGCAGAAAGCTCGGAGCCCATCTTGCACAGACTTTAGTCATGCCAAGGTGTTGATGTAGGATGTTTAAAATGGTTATTTCTGATACTCCAACTAATGCTGCAAGCTGTTTTTTCTTTAACCGGGCATCTTTAGATACAAGTTTGTCAACTTTTCGTTTATTTCTGGAGTGGTGGCCTCAATCGGTCGTCCATGTCGGAGGTCGTATTCAATGGAGACCCTGTCTTGTTTGAAAAGGGCGTGCCATTTACAAATCGTGGTTGTTTGCGCCAAACGCTCAAATTTAAGATTACTATAACTGAGACTCGTTAGCGCGCTTCTTCGATGTAGCTAGCACCGACGGGCACGCAGCTCGCCGGCGCCTCCCCGCCCACGCTGAGCGCGGGGGAGATCGGGTTTTGTCGTCAAGCGGCAGCCGGCAGTGCTTGCTGTGAGTCGAATCGAGCCGCTTGGCGCCGAATTTGTTAACAAATTTGTGCAGCGACGAATAATCGTGTAGTCTAGAACATTAGATGCCAGGTTTGCTAATTATTGAGAAGTTAGTGTTTAATTGTACCGTTGCGTTAAGCGCCTTAAAAGGTCGCGTTCGGTTTTCGAAACAATTTGTTGTGGAGTGAGCGAAAGTGAACTTTGACCCACGAGTCGTGCCGCGTGTTACGCTTTATAATTAACGGGATTTAGTTGCGTCTTGAAGTTAGTTAAATGTACGATAAAGTTAATAGATTGACATAGTGAATTGAAGAAGGAAATAGTCCATTGCTGCAGCGGCTGGAAAGTACCACGACGGAGGGCGGCGCCGGAGTCAGCGTGACTACTGATTAAAATAAAGGGCTAGTTCCGGTTACACAAATTTACACTTCTAACACACTACTCACATTCACGACAATTACGCCTGAACGAGCCCTGGGAGCCTTCTTCGCCAGCGAACAGGTACGTACTATTAATTCACCTAGCCTTCTCCCTGTTGTGTAGTAGGATAAGACATTTTCCATAAGGCCATTCGGGCCCGAACCCTCGGTTGACCGTCGCAGGTGTTACTCATGGGCCCTAATACAGTCGACTTCTGTCTGGGCAACTGAGAGCCATAACAGTGGTTTTCCCAGGAGCGGAGTCCCCATAAACAGCTGGTATCTCTTGAAAATGGTTTAAGGTGTTTTTCTTTGTATGGGGAGAAAATTAATGACGGCGCGATATTCAATTTTCTCCATAGTGGCTAGTTTCTTCCCAGTTGATTTATTTACTTCTTGATAACTCAAAAGCTAATGACCTGATTAGGCGGAAACTTGGTATATATGTTACCGGAAATGTATGAAACCTAAGAATTGTATACAATTCCTAGGAAATGTGTACAATTCCGACGCTATTTAGGAAATTTATGAAATATTGTTTCAAAGATTATCTAATACACACATACCCTGGGAAATGTACACAGTTCCTAGGATTTGTACAAAATTCCGATATCGTATTAGGAAATGTATAAAAAGAATGCTTTTTGTGAACAACACATTTTTTTGACCACAATGGGCACAGAACTTTAGATAAAAATCCTTCGTTTGGTGATTCTTCAGCTATTTCGCTATTGTACAAATTGTGTGGATTGCACATCCGCATTCTCTATATGTATGAGCCCTTGTAGTTTCTTGTGAACAGACGCTGCATTTATGTTGAACGCGAGCTGGAGGTTGCGTGTTTGTTTCACTTTGATATGAATCGTTGTTGGAAACTTGACTTGGCTCCGTGTTCACCTTAGAGAGTTCAGATGCAGAGACTTTCGGATCCTCTTCATTCTCGGTAAGATTCTGTATGATTTTTTCCAAATCTTCTTCAGTTTCGACTTTTGCGTGAAATCGTTGAGTAACTGTAGACCTACTTTTATTTTACACCCGAAAAGTGCCCCATCAAGCTCTATTAGTTATAAGTTGCACAAACCTTAAACCTTCGTTCCAATGTGTATTATCATCAATTGCATCTACGTGGTCAGCACATTTTCAATATCCCGATTTTTCCCTTTCTACACTCCCCTGACTGCGAATGCCTGGGTTTACCATGGATAACTTTTAAAGTAGGCCATTATTTTTTTAAGTTCTCAATAATTTAGTTGGAAAATTTTCTGCCGTTGTCAGATTGGAGAACCGCAGGAGCACCAAGTAGAGTAAATACGTCCAATAAAGTGTAAGCCACTT